TTTAATTAAATCTTACATTCATTAGGAAATTCTAAAGCTTACATAGCAACAGATATGCACAAAACAACTGAAAATGATATTTTTAAAAATTGGGCTAGTACCCTATTTTCCCATTATTGTTCACATTCTATTTCCTCAAATTGAAAGCTTGAATATTAAAGTTATCAGAAGTTACTCATTATACTGTTAGAGAATATATCCTCCACTTATCCCAGGGTGTATATTTGTTCTACAAAATTAAATAATAAATGTATTTCCAAGTTAATACAAATAAGCAATTTCTCTGTTTACTAATGTGGTCCAGATCCCAACTTTCAAATCACTTGAGTACCCAGGAGCAAATAATTTCTTAAAGGCCCAATAATCATAGTTTATGTATTAATTTGCCTGTGAGACCCAATATGCAATGATGTCAAGATATTATACTTTTTTTGTCTTAACATGTTAAGCGCCAAGCCTGTTTTGACTTCCTTTCCATTTAGCCGGCGATATCCGATTTCACCGATATGCTGACGGCACCAGTGACTGACTGGTTCGGATGGGAAGTATAGTGTCAATCACCGGTGACTGACATGGTGCTTAACGTGTTAAGCAAGGAAATCCTAGAATGATTCCAATGCCCTAAGATTAGAATTTCTAATGTCTCATTTTGAAGTGAGTACTTCACATTTAGGCAACTACTATGATGCACAGAAATAGTTGAATTGCCTCTTGATATGGCTTTTAGTAGGTAATAGTCTTACTTTACTCCAGTCCTTTAAAGTTTGAGGGGTTTTGTTCTTGGGGATGAAAGTAAAGATATCCTATATATAAAAGCCTAATATGCAAATTGTCCCCTTCACCAGGAGTTCGACCAGGAGTTCGACGGCTCGCTATGATGTGTGCTGACAACCAGGGGGCGGTGCAGAACATGGCGGGCGTCAGTGATGTGGCGCTGACTGCGGGCGGCAGTGGAGGTGCTGCCAGCCCTGATGGGCCCCGACGAGAGCGGGACGGCTGAGCGATGGTGGAGCAGCTGAGAGGGCGGTGCCAGGCCAAGGCAGGTGCGAGCAAGACCCGATCGCCCTGCCAATCGCCCCGCAGACTGCGACCAGCAGTGGCGGCAGGGGGCTACCAGGCACTAAGGGAGCTGGGCGGAGGCCTAGGTGCTTCTCAGGGCCCAGAGGTCAGCTGGGACCTGCCCTTCCACACCAGATGCCGGCCTAGCCTAGGGACTGCATCCGTGCACGCATTTTGTGCACCAGGCCTCTAGTAATAAACCACACCCATCTAGTAAAGAGCCATTTTAACTGATTCCTCTCTTAATCATGATAAAAAATGTTTATGACATTTCAAACATAGGACTATTTAGTTTCCTCCTCTGGTACATAAGCAGTTCACAAATACTGGCTTTTTAAAGTTACATTTCCTATAAAAATGTATAGAAACTCTCTTCTAGATGTAAGAATCAGAATCAAGCTCCTGGATAACACAAACGCTGAGTCATGGCCCATATGTCTATTACATTTGCTAGACCCCAGACAGGATTCCCTGAAGGCAGATCCAGGAGATGTGTGAGAAGTCAGAATGATGAATGGCTGAATTCCATCATCCTGCTCACGCAGGAGCTATTTCAACCTCAAAAACGTGCTGCAGCACTCTCAAATTTTCCATACAGAACACTCATTTGATAAATTCTTTATTATAGTTTCTGAGATCAATGATAATCTCTATGGCATTTTCTACTTATCATACCTAAAAATAAAAGCAATTATACATAAAGATAAAAATACTTTAAAAAGCATACCTACAAATAAAACAAATACATGATTGCATTCACAGAGCTCCAAATGAACCTTTGTTTTAATCACTGTTGCAGTATTTTTTTTTAATGGGAATTTGTGGGAAACTCAGTGAAAAATTGTCAGCAGGTATTTGTACAAAGTGACCAAAAGAAACTGGAAATGAATTTGGCAAAACAAGGCTAGAACAATGAAAACACTGCAAATCAAAAAGAAATCTGAGATCTCAAGTTTTAGAAAGTATAGGCTGAAAAAATAACATGTGAGGTTGTATGTAACTATCTAAAAAGTATTCAGAAAAACCATAGATTAGTGTTCACTGGGAGACAATAAGACATGTTAGTCAGGAGCCTGGGTTCTGCAGTCAGTCAGAGCTGACTGTTACTGCCTACTGTTACGCACAAGCTGGTAGGTAACCTTAGGGAAGTTACCCAATCTCACCAAGTCTCAGTTTCCTGAGCTGTAGAGTGGATACAACTTCCATAATAGTGAATATAAGAATTTAACAGGAGACTAGACTTACCTGAAGAAAGAAGTGATGAAATGGAAGAAATGCAGCACAGAAAAACAGCTGCTTCAGAGAATAAGAGATGATAGAGTGAAAAATGTTTATTCAAAGGCAGAGACTGTTACAATGACAATATTTAAAGTGATGAAAGACTTCAATCCTCTTATTTAAAAAGCCCCACAAATTCCAAGAATAATTGTTTAAAAAGCATATCACATAAAGTGAAGACAACCAGACACAGGAAATCCTAAAAAGCAGTCAGGGGGAAAAATAAAAAAAGACATATTATCCCATATAATAAAAGGCTAATATGCAATTGTCCCCTTGACAGGGAGTTCAACCGGGAGTTTGACCAGGGGGTGGGGCCGGCCAGCCAACTGCCCACAGCCCCTCACCCCGGCCGGCCCAATCGGCCCTGATCAGGGCAGGCCAGCCAGACCCCACCTGTGCACAAATTCGTGCAGCGGGCCTCTAGCCTATAAATAAGTGACAATTAGAGTGCCAGCTGATTTCTCAATAGTAACAATGGAGGGCAACTAACGTAAGAATGGTAACTACAATGTACTGAAATAAAATAGCCATTGACCCAGAATTCTATACACAGCAGAAATATCTTTAAAGAATGAGAACATTCTTTACACTTAAAAATTATTAAAATGGCCCTAGCCAGTGTTGCTCAGTGGATAGAGCATTGGCCCGCAGATGGAAGGGTTTCTCCCTCCCTTCCTTCCATTCTCTAAAAATCAATAGAAAAAATATCTTCTCGTGGGGATTAAAAATAATATTTGGAGCCCTGGTCAGTGTGGCTCAGTTGGTTGGGCGTCATCCTGTGCATCAAAAGGCTGCTGGTTCGATTTCTGTTCAGGGCACATGACAAGGTTTCAGGCTCAATCTCCATGTGGGGGGTGTGCAGGAGGCAGCTCTCAAATCATTTATTTTTCTCTCTCCCTCTCCCTTCCTCTCTGTTCAAAAATATACATATATTTGGAAATAGTCTTTAACCATATTAATGCAAAGTAAAATCATAATGAGATACCATCATATGCCCAACACATTTACATTTCAAACTCTTGACAACAGCAAGTTTTGGTGAGGATGTTGAGCAAAATGAACTCATACACTGCTGATGAGAGTGTGAATTGTTACAACCACTTTGAAAAACTGGCATTATCCATTCATCAATTTTACACTTAGGTGATAGGGATGTTTTATGATCTCTCAATACTTAAAAGTAACAGTAAGAGGAAAATGGGAAAATTAACATATATTTCCAAAGATAAGCAATAGGATAGGAGACTCTGGAAAGTAAACTCTACTTTGGAGAGCAAATTGAGTAAAAAGTAGACATTCTTTGCTCTACACAGAATTTCAAGGTTTGTGAATAAATCCTGAAACACTAAAAACTCCCATTACTTTACATATTTGCAAAGTAAGATGATACCCAAGCTAGTACAAATACTTTTATCCATTTTAAGTAAGCAAAATCTGAGTCGACTGTTGGAGGCATTCTGCTACAAAAGAACCGGGGCAGATCTCAAGTGCAGGGGAAAATCAGAACAAAGAGCAGAGCATGCCCATTAATGAGTGTTACTTGAACTTTTGGGGTAGTTGTTCTCAGAAGCCTTCCAGATAGTCCATAATCCAAGTGTACCACTATTTGCAAAAGCATAAAGTAAGCAAAAAAAAAAAAAAAAAAAAAAAAAAAAACCCCTCCTAAAGGCTAGTACAAAAGCCAAAATCTCACTTCTTATTCTATCATAGAAATAAATGACTAATATGAGAACAGTGGCCAAGGCAATATGTCAAGCATTTGAAAAATACTTAAATAAATGCCAAAAAAACCCATGAAACACCATGTCCAGTATTTTTAAAAAACCAAACAGTATTTATTTACATTCTATTTACTTTCAAAAGAATGAGGAAGCTAGGGGAAACATATTTATAAAGAAGGTAGTTTCATTTTACTTAACCCATTTGTGTTTTTCATGAAACAACGAAGATTTGACTTACAATCACATGTCTAAAGGGAATGAAACCATTTATCCTGTTCAGTTTTCCAACTCTAGCCATGACTGAAATTATACCACTGCAGTCAGATGAAAATCTACTCCACTTCTAAGTAAACACCAACTAATATATATGTTATAAAAGAACCAGCTTTAGTAAAATCTGTCATAGCAGCCAATAAACCTTCAATAAAAGATACAGATATCATAACACAGGACATTTAAGACTCTTTGTGTAACAGTGAAAATCAGAATTTACACAGGAGATATCATAATTGGCTATTAAGTCAATAGCATCACAGTAATGGTACCCAGTGTCTTCTCATTCAAGTATATACACCATTTCTAAGACTTGGTTATAACAAAGACATCAGTAAATAGGATGTACACACAATTATTTCACAAACACCATGAAAAACAACAACAACAAATAGCCTTGAATTTTCTAATGATTACAAATATGTTAACATTACTATATATTTCATAATGTTTAACTGATTTGTATACTTTAAATCTAGCAATGAGTTTTAGAAAAATACTGATAATGGCTCAACATGGTTTTTTGTGTGTGTCTTTTTAATGTCTTTTTATTGATTTCAGAGAGGAATGGAGAGGGAGAGAGAGATAGAAACACTAATGATGAGAGAGAATCATTGATCGGCTGCCTCCTACACGCCCCCACACTGGGGACTAAGCTGGCAAGCCAAGCATATGCCCTGACCGGGGATTGAACCATGACCTCCTGGTTCATAGGTCGACGCTCAACCACTGAGCCATGCCAGCTGGGCAACTCAACATGTTTTGAAGTCAGATCATATTTATATTTCAGTAGTCTGTATTTTCTGCTCCTCTTTCTTCCACCACCATCCTCTTTAACCATCCATTTATTCAAAACAACGTCTGAGATCTCCACTGGCTGTGAAAGTATTACATCCGAAAACTTCTAGTTCTTTGAAATGGTTGGAAAGGGTTTTTTAGTGCCCACATTAGCATCTGTGGTTTTGGTTTTGGTTTTTCGGGAAACAGAAGTGCTTCACTTTCTGGTGTGGGAAATCGTTCTTGGTAGACTTCAGGGTAGGATTTTTGAAACTAAAAAAAAAAAAAAAAAAAGAGAGAGAGAGAGATCTACAATGAACCCAGAAAACAGGTTGGGCAATCTAATTTTATAATGAGTTTCTGACCCCATATTTTCCTGTTCTTGTTTTGTTTTAATGTTGTTTTCCATCCAAAAAAAAGAGAAGAAAACAGATCACAGTCAAATTTACTTGAACACAAATCCATTTTTTATGTTGAATCATTTGATTCCACTTTCTATAAATCTAATTCACCTTTAATTTGATCCAATCTTCAAATAAACTTCTCATTTAAGTCACGTCTTATATTTCCCCCACTGCCAACTGTAAATCAACCTTACTTTAAAAATAATAATTAACTCTGACCTGAAAATAACATGTTCTAAATAATTAAAATTTTGGTCAAACTCCTTCCACCATTTCTTAGCCCACCTGCTTCTGCCCAAATTAAAAACAATGTAGTATATATTATATTATGAAAAGCTTAAAGAGAGGCAATAAGTTTTTCCTCTGCTCCTCACCACTGAACTCTTCTCCAAAATGACTGAGAAAAATATGATTGGGGATCCAGAACTCCAGTGCTCTGCATATAATCCTATACGTATGGTGTGATCAGGAATCAAGCTATACAGGATTCAGTCTTTAAAAACAAAAACCATTCATTTAACCTTGGATCAATATTTTAAGAATGATCATAGTAAACATATTTTGAGTTGAAAACTATTGTCTGAAACCCTAAGCCATGTTGTTTAATAAGAAACTTCGTGATGCCTGAGGCAAGAAACCAATTTGACACTGGCTGTCTAAAACCAAAGGCTTTTAATTTCTAGACATTTTATATTTGTAAATTCAGTGTGATTTCAAAGAAATCTGTCCTCATTTAATAGCTTCTCTAGGTTTAAAGTAATTTCTCTACTAACTCATATCATATGCCACATATCAAAATAAGACAAATATTAGAGAATAAATGGTAAAAGATGTACTTTGGAGAATAAAGATGTGGGAAATTGACCACAACCTACACGTGTAAATCACTGAGACTTCTGGAATACATGAACTAAAAAATATACTTTCAAAACTGCTATCTCAGAAGATGAGATTCACACAAAACCCATTAAAATAGAGAATTTAAAAAAACCATTAAGAACTATAGGGAGAATAAATTACTAATAAAGAATATCACTTTTTACTCGGAAAACTATAGGACACTAAAAAAAGGGATAGAGGAAGACATAAACAGATGGAAGAACATACCGTGTTCATGGATTGGTAGAATCAACATCATTAAAATGTCCATACTACCCAAAGCAATCTATAGATTCAACACACTCCCCATTAAAAACCAATGGCATATTTCACAGACCTAGAATGAACTCTCCAAAAATTCATCTGGAATAAAAAAAAGACCCCGAATAGCTGCTGCGATCCCGAGAAAGAAGAACAAAGTAGGAGGGATCTCAATACCAGATATCAAGCTGTATTACAAAGCCACTGTTCTCAAAACTACCTGGTACTGGCACAAGAACAGTCATATAGATCAATGGAATAGAATAGAGAACCCAGAAATTGACCCAAACCACTATGCTCAATTAATATTTCACAAAGGAGGCAAGAACATACAATGGAGCCAAGATAGTCTCTTCAATAAATGGTGTTGGGAAAATTGGACAGATATATGCAAGAAAATGAAACTAGACCACCAACTTACACCATACACAAGAATAAACTCAAAATGGATAAAGGACTTAAATGTACGACAGGAAACCATAAAAATTCTAGAAGAATCCAAAGGCAACAAAATCTCAGACATATGCCAAAGCAATTTCTTCACTGATACAGCTCCTAGGGCACTTGAAACTAAAGAGAAAATGAACAAATGGGACTACATCAAAATAAAAAGCTTCTGCACAGCAAAAGAAACCATCAACAAAACAACAAGAAAACCCACTGCGTGGGAAAACATATTTGCCAACGTCATATCTGATAAGGGCCTAATCTCCAAAATTTATAGGGAACTCATACAACTTAACAAAAAGAAGATAAACAATCCAATCAAAAAATGGGCAAAGGACCTAAATAGACACCTTTCAAAAGAGGACATTCAGAAAGCCAAGAGACATATGAAAACATGCTCAAAGTCACTAATCATCCGAGAGATGCAAATCAAAACAACAATGAGGTACCATCTCACACCTGTCAGAATGGCTATCATCAACAAATCAACAAACGACAAGTGCTGGAGAGGATGTGGAGAAAAAGGAACACTTGTGCACTGCTGGTGGGAATGCAGACTGGTGCAGCCACTATGGAAGACAGTATGGAGTTTCCTCAAAAAACAAAACATGGAACTCCCATTTGACCCTGTGATCCCACTTCTAGGAATATATCCCAAGAAACCAGAAACACCAATCAGAAAGGATATATGCACCCATATGTTCATAGCAGCACAATTCACCATAGCTAAGATCTGGAAACAGCCTAAGTGCCCATCAGTAGATGAATGGATTAGAAAACTGTGGTACATCTACACGATGGAATACTATGCTGCTGTAAAAAAGAAGGAACTCTTACCATTTGCAACAGCATGGATGGAACTGGAGAGCATTATGCTAAGTGAAATAAGCCAGTCAATGAAGGAAAAATACCACATGATCTCACTCATTCATGGATAATAAAGACCATTACAAACTTTTGAACAATAATAGATACAGAGGCAGAGCTGCCTCAAACTGATTGTCAAACTGCAGTGGGAAGGCCAGAGAGGGTTGGGGGGCAGAAGGGAGGGGAGTAAGAGATCAACCGAAGGACTTGTATGCATGCATATAAACATAACCAATGGACATAAGACACTGGGGGGTAAGGGAGGGCAGGGGATTGTCAAGGGCGGGGAAAAAAAAAAGGAGACATATGTAATACTCTTTGTAATACTTGAAGGTAGGAGAGGGTGGGGGTAAAGGGGAGAGATCAACCAAAGGACTTGTATGCATGCATATAAGCCTAACCAATGGACACAGACACCCGTCGGGGGTGGGAGGGTATGAGGGCATGAGTGGGGGTGGTGAGGAGCAAAGGGGGATAAGGACACATACCTTAATCAATAAAGAGAAAAATAAAAAGAATATCCCTTTTACCTGCTTCAATTTTTTCTTCTTCTCTTTTCTGGAGAGCTTGGCATCTGTTATGACCTCCTCCAACAAAGCTGCCAGAGGTTCCTGAGAGCCGTATGCTCTTTGGTATTCAAATTCCTCTGGACTAATTTGACGACAAAATGATGGAGCAGATAAAGTGATATCCATGTCGGCTCCCGGGTATTTTATCTGAAGCAAAAGGATTAGTAGAGAGAAAAAAGTGTATTTTCAAATAAATTACAAAAATTTGTTTAGATTAAACACAATTTACAGCACATGTCATTCCTCAATTTTAACTGGGGAAAACTCTTAATTAATAATGTCTGAAATTGAAACATAAACTAAACAAGTTGACTCTAAAATGATTCAAAACAAAAAACAATGTTGGACACACAGTGAATTATCAGGTTCCTTCCCCATCTGAAGAGTCTAGTGTTCCCTTCCTTGCACACTTTAGCCCAGCTGTCATGGAGAGGGAAGTCCTACAACCATCGTCAAACATGTGAATAATGAGAATCAGGTGAAAACAACAAATATGCAGACACTGTACAGGGCAAAGGGAGAAGTAAGAGGAAAGATGATACCAAAACCTGTGAATAAGTGAGCATCCATGAAAAATACTTAACTTCAGAGTCCAAGAGGGTCATTCTTCTCAAAAATAGAGCATCTATTGTTCTTCTGCAGTGAATAAAATTGCAACTATTCACTTCTTTGGCTTAAGATAGTTTTCCAGAAGCCACAGTTAAAAATAAGTGTTGCCAAGAAGAGTAGTACATTAAGTACAGTCCATGCCTCAACATCAGTTTACCAAATCAGTTAGAGACAACCTAAGAGAGACAGACCAGAACCAGAAGGGAAAGACAGGATACTTCCTTTTTATTTACCTAGGACTCACCCTTTATTCTGGCCAGGAAAACCAGGAAAGGGCTGGAATAAAGGGTGAGTCCTAGGTAAAAGGAGAAAAACACCAGATATCTATCATTAAAGGGCACAACAGGGAGAAGAGGGTTGCAAATAAGGTTGATAGAAGGCTGGTGTAAAAACAATGAGTGCCTCACAACTGATCTATGCCAGGTCAGCCTCAAACTGCCCCAAAATTGAGGAACCTCAAAAAGCACTTTAGTGAAGAAGGTCGAACCATTCTGAAGGAACCAAGCAGAATTTCTGCCAAGACTTTTTACCAAAAGTTTCTGCTCCTACAGGCTGACATACAAACCCCATTTTAGGGTCCACATAATATAGCAACAACGATGATAGCACTCCCTTTCAAAGAGGTACCTACCATGTCAGACAGTTGTGCAAGGGGTTTTACAGTAATCCATAATTTAGTATTATACTGTGTAATACTTCACAACCACTTTATACAGCATGTGTGGCCCATTTTAATAATTGAAGAAACTAAAATCGAGAGAGGTTAAGGGATCTGCCCAGAGCCACACAACAAGGGAAGAGGGGAGCCAGGAGTTTGACCCAGGTCTTTATGGCTCTTGTTCGCCTACCACACCATGTTCTGAAGTGAGGCAGTATGTATGGGAGTTAGGGGCACTGATTCTGGAGACTGATCTCATCAGTTTGAATCCTGGCACTGTGACCTTGGACTAGTTGCTTAAGTTCTCTGCCAAAGCTTTCTCATCCAAAAAATATAATAACAGTATGTAGGCTGCAGGGCTATTAAGAATGAAGACATGTATTTCTTCCATCAGGAAGTATATGTAGACTCTGAACAAATTCACTTAAGGAGTTTGGAATCAAAAGTATGTGGTTTTGATTGACATAACAAAACCAAGTAGGCAACCACAAATTTTCAGTGATAACAAACTTGTATGCTTACTATGTGCCAAGCCTTGTTGTAAGCACCTTGTACATATTAATTCACTTAGTCCTCATAACATAAACTCCCAAGAAGCCTAGCTGACAATTTCATAGGATTTGAGAATATCCCTTCCTTTACCTGCACTCTTCGTAGGTGAGCCACACGCTCCTCTATGGAGGTCTGCAAGGCCAAAGGGACTTTCAGAATATCTTGGTAATTGTCCATCAGAAATGTTACCAACCTAGCAGCTAATAACTCATCCAAGTCCACTTCATCCTTGGAGCACAAGATGCAACGGGAAAATGTCTGAATCATCTAAAAGAGGGGGGAAAAAAGGTGGGGGAGAGTTTTAAATAAATACCAATGAATTTTTTCCCTACTCTGAATTGAGTACGATCTTAATTTGCAAAAAGCAAATGTGACTAGTCAGTGAGAAATGGCCCACAGCACAGGGTGAACATCCTACCTGGCACTTAGCCACACCTGGTCATCTCAGATGTATTGATTTTCTCATTAATCAGCATGAGCAGAATGTGCATCGCATCTCACAGAGACTTAGCAGAGATGTTTGTCTGAAGGCTTTTAAACTCCTTTCACAGATGGTTTTAAATATGTATATTTAAACAAATTCTGAAAATTATCATTACCATCATGACCTTGATCATGTAGCACTTTTAAGTTCGGTGTACTTTATAGCCATTTAGTCTGATAATATCGTAATTACATCATTGATTTTTTTTTAATCATTGTTGTTTTTTTTCAATCTACTTGCACAGTTTTATGGGTCTCAAACACTATATATTTTCCTAGTTAACTGTTATTTTCTCTAGGATTTTGAATGTACATTTGACAGTGACCTTGAAGAAAACCATGAGACTTTACAAGAAGTGTATTAAGTAATGAGACCCTTTATGGTAAGCAGAAATATAAAAAATATTATAGCAGCTACTTCCACAGAATTCACATTAACTACTCCATTTTTAATGCTATCCTTTGGATGGATTTTCTTAGTAATTTTATTGCTGACGATAGTATTTCAAAACCTATAAACATGTAATTCTGTCTAATAAGACATCACTTTATCAATATTGCAGATGACACTTGATCTTCATTCACATTTATGTGCACAGAGACTCTGTACTGGGAGACTACGGACCCCAGGGTACTCATGAATGCCTTGAAATTGTATGTAAAGTTTTATACACGTGTTCTTCTGGAGAATATGTACAAACTTTTCTTCAGCTTTTCAGAAAAGTCCACTAGCCTCCCTACCAACTCCTTCCCCCAAAAGGACAGGAATCACTCCCCTGGGCACTGAGTACTCCTCTCATCTTACTCCACACTTCTAAAACTGGGCCAGTGGACCCCAGGGGTACACAGGGTTCACCAGGATATGGGAATAACATATACATACCAATGAAGCATCAATTTCACTCTAAGACTGTTTTTTTAGATAACTTAGAAATTTAGCTAATTAGTGATTCCAAACATAAACTCTATTTTAAAATGCATGCTGACATTACAAAGTAGAATTAAAAATTACTCAATTTTAAGCAAAATTGAGCATATTTTAAGAAAAACCCTCATTCATGGACCCTTAGGTCATACCCTAGGAGATACAAGTTCTCCTTCTCCTTCCCAGTTGTCTGGTCCAATTCCACATTTTGCTTCTTCCCTCGTTAATCCCTTTATATGCTGCATATCTCCTACTGGTTATAGTAACAATGACTCTGCAACCCTTTTGACCTGGAGGAGAGTGTTGTTTTCTTGAGAGATCACTTATCCTTTCTGTCCACCCTTCCTTCTCTTTGTGTTGACAGTAGACAGGATACAGCAGGTATCTCTACACTCAGAGTCTGCCCCTACTCACTTTTTCTTTTATTATGTTCTTTAAGACACTAAGACCAAAAGCACAATACCAGTCTGGATGGATTCCAAGCCATGGCTCCGTAAGCAAGTCTGCCATGTACTAGTATCTTCCTCTGCTTGCCAAGCTAGTATACTTTACTCAGGTGAATTTTGTTCCAAAAACTCAAGTCATGTTAGATGTTAGAACTCAACCTACCAGTGTTCGGGTGCCAAGGCCATCACAAAGTGGTGGCATCTCCTTATTTGAGCAGATCCTTGTCATCATCTTCATCAACAGCTGTAACTTCCTCCTATTTTCAGGTGGCAGGAGGAGGCAGCAAATCTGAAATGCTTCAATGGCCATTTTTTCCTCCTGTAACAAACCTGATTTAGAAAAAAAAGTTTTTAATCTTAAAAATCTATAGCTTACTTGACTCTATAAAGTTCACATTTTTATAAAATATACATTACTAAAATTATGTAGAACATGTTTACATATTCAACTACTGGGCCAATTGATTATAGATCCATGGTCATTCACAAATTAGCACAAAAAATACAAACCATCAACTAGTATTGAACAAATACAGCCATTTTCCCCTTCACACCACTGACAGATATAACTGAATTTTCATAGCATTCTTTCCCACTGAACCAAGAGCAGTCAGATTGAGCCTAGCCTAACACCTGACCCCCATGAGCAAGAACATGAATGTGCCATCACTTCCCTGAATTCTCCCCCTTCATTATTTCCTCATGACAAGCAGATCACCATCTTACACGATTCTCAGACTAAATAGTAGAACTAATGCTCCTATGGTTAATCCATTGCCAAATAGCTCTGCTTCTAAGTAACACCTGTCCAATAACCCTTCCTCCCTCTTAAGCATTTTTTCTGGTTAAGGGGGTGATTCAATTATGCTACATGCCATTCCTCTGCACCCAGTATGATTTTGCTAAAAATTCTAATATTGTGTGCTCTTTATCCCTATTTGTCCCTGGACACAGCCATTGCAAGCTCACTACAGAGATTAAACTGCTTTCACCAATTTACTAACCCATATCCAACCTCTTCAAGTTTCTAGCCTCTGACTTGAAGGCAAAATCATCTTTCATATTCCATAAATATTTTCTGACCATTTATGATATGTCAGAAACTATGCTAGGTCCTGGAATTTAAAAAAAATATGCCAGGTCCCTTTCCTGTAAAAAGGAGAGACCCACAAAAAATAAGTGACAAAATATAAATGTAAGAGATGCGCTTCAAGAGACATTTGCAAGAGGCATATCAGAGGAATGCTAAGTCACTCAATATGAATGCAGTGTAGGCTTTGAGGGTAAGGGCTTAGTGTAGAAGTGAAGCTAAAAATACTGCAGAGACGAGATCTTAGAAACCCTGAATAACAGATTAAAGAGCTTGGGTTTTATCCCAAGGGCACTGGACAAGCCTGGAGAGAAAGGAGGAAGGAGGAAGGAGCTTTTATATACAAGTTCAGATCCTAAATGTTCACCAGAAATACTGCTGCTGATTATCATTATCATTTGTATAGATCTGCTTTCAATTCTACATAATCAAATCCATGAAAAGAAAAAAAGGTTTATGACCACATTTTAATTTATTCTTTCATGTATCTAATAAATATTTATTTAAGCCCTGCATATATTCCAGGAACTGTTTTAGAAAGGATACAGCGGGGAATAAAATAAAATCCTGTCTGACCTCATGGAACTCCCTTCCCAACAGATAATGAGCACAGACATATATAAATATGATGTGAGGTGGAAAAATGCCGTGAAGGAAAATTAAGAAGAAAAGAAGCTGGGGAGTGATGGGAAAACACTACTAGTGTTTTGAGAAAGGTCTCTTTCGAAGGAGGTGACATTTGAGCAGTCATCTGAAGGAATAATAGTAAGCCAGGGAAATATCAAAGAGACAAATTTTTAAGGCGGAGGAAATATCAATAAAGATTTTAATGTGTAAGTATGCTTTAATTACTTGAGGAACAGCAATGAGGCCAGTGTGATGAGAGAGTAGTGTGTAATAAATATTCAAATCAGAAATGAGGTTAGAGAGGAAGCCAAGAGATACACAGAACCTTGTAGACTATCATTAATGACTTCGGGTTTTATTGTAAGTGATCTGAGAAGCCACTGGAGAATTATAGGTAATGTAAGGGTGGGGCAAAAAGTAGGTTTACAGTTTTGAGTACATGAAACAGTTTATCCTTGTATTATCCTAGAGGACTGCTGCACAAAGTCGTACACAGATGGGGTCCAGCTGGCCCACCCAGGGGAGGGGCCGCGGGCGGTTGGCAGGCCGGCCCCAGCCCCTGGTCAAACTCCCGGTCGAGGGGACAATTTGCACATTAGCCTTTTATTATATAAGATTATATAGGACTAGAGGCCCGATGCACAAAAATTCGTGCAAGAGTAGGACTTCCTTCCCCCAAGTGCCAGCACCGGCTTCCCTCCTCCGGCCACCAGCAGACACCCGGAACACCGGCTTCCTCCTCTGGCCACCAGCAGACACCCGGAACCCGGGCTGGCCTGACCTAGGCTGGCTTCCCCCAGGCCGCCTGCAGGCACCCAGAACCCCGGCTGGCTTCTCCTGGGCTGCCTGCAAGCAACTGGGACCCTGGCTGGCTTCCCCTGGGCCATCCACAGGCAACTGGGACCCCAGCTAGCTTCCCTCCAGCCCCGGCTTCATCAGGAAGGACGTCTGGAAGACGTTCAGTCTAATTAGCATATTACCCTTTTATTATTATAGATTACTGTATTATTTTCCATAGGAATAACTGTAAACCTACTTTTGCCCCACCCTGTATGTACAAATACTTTTCAGAAACATAAGATAAGGTGAAATTTGACTCTCTCTATAATTGAAAAAAAAAACACAGGGATTTGTGGACTAATGTGATAGAAGGCTTCATGGAAAAAGTGGAAGGCTTTGTGGAGAAAGAGATCTAGAATTTAATTAACTCTTACCAGTTCCAACTGCTACTTTATCTGAACTTCCTCCTTGTTACTCACAATCTACAGCTGCCAGAGTAAAATGTAATTCAGGAATGACAGATAAAGGAAGTAGCAAAAAAATATGCTATATATTCATAGGTATTCTAACTATGTTCATATATTTAAAAGAAATATAAACACAGTGAGGAGAGAAATCCTATCTAATAATAGACAAACATGGTAATTGACAGTACCTTCGCTTTGCCTCCAATTGGCTAATCAGCACGATATGCAAATTAACCGCCAACAAAGATGGC